AGATACCCAAGCCAAAGCTACACTGGTAACGTCTGTATATTTATATTTATACGCCAGTGAGTCTGCGTGCAAAAAGTTGGTACAGGTGCGTGCGTGTGTTTATGTATATAGATTTACAGACCCACTTATGGGATTTTAAATCTCGGGTTCCGCCAAAGACAAAAGAATCCTCATAATCACCCGCACTGTACAAAATGTATTACGCAGTCACGGCTGCAGCTCTGAAATCCGTTGTATAACAGAGTGAGAGTATGATGGCAAAAGCGTGGAAGGATGCGCGCAATTACATCTCGGCGTGTTAACAAGCGAGAAGCGCGTAATTGTATACCCACGTATACTCGAGAGAGAACAATATGGGAAGCCGGCTTGGGGACTGTTGATACATCGATTGCGTGAACTGCCCTGCCCCGTGTGATTTCTTCCTCTGTTTCGTACGGCCGGATAGGTAACTGTACATATACCTATAGGCACCTAGTGAAGGTGTGAGAAAAGAGTGCCTTTTCAAGTAGAATATATACGCACCGAGATGCATGCCACTAGTCGTGAGTCGTGAGGTAATACATCAACCTACACTTTTACTTACCTGGTATACTTGTACTGAGGTGCATCTGACTGTGCCCTGCTACCCAGTTTTCAACGAGTACAAGTCGCGATGGCACAACTGTGCCATTAATTAGAGGGTCTGGCTGATCATCCTCGCAACGACTCCGCAACTTTTATACATTTACCCCTTACTCGACACAGAGATACAAAAAATATAGCGACTTTAACTGGAAGATTCTTCGTGGCTCTCCATCAGGACTGCTCTGAAAACTTGACTCCATACGAGTTGAAAACAACTTGTGCATCGAAAATCTTTGTACTTTAAGACCCTATACCTTATTTATTTTCAGTTTCTATGCAAAATGTCTGACTTCTCGAATAATTTCTAAGCTTAATATAAAGTATAAACTGGTTAATTTCCATGTTGATTTTAAACTGTATAAGTCTCCATATTGCGATTAAAAGAGTGGCTACCTACAACACACATTAGAGGATGCACATTCTGTTTGGGTTAGAGTTCATGGTTTAACATCTCAAATAAAAGAGTAAAGAGTCTGAGAAAGGAGAAATTAAAATAAAATGTTTGGAGTTGTTTTTTACACCCCGAAATTGTTGATGACTGTTTTACACGTCTCGCTATTTACACCAACAATGTGGACTCAATTTTCATAATTTCTCAGTCGCACATCTTTTCATTAAAATTATAATGTGATGTTTTACAAATCAAACCAAAATCTGTTTTTGTTTCTTGACGCACTTAAGTCTGCTTAATATGTTAAGTACACGTTAAGATTCACACTAATTCACAGAAACCAGTAAACAGTGGGTTCTTGGGCACGCAATAATGAAGTTATACTTCTAAAACATTCTATGGCAGACAATGTATAAGTATAAATATACCTCTTATAAAACGATATTGTGTACAAAGTCTAGAGTTTAACCATGGCATGACGTACTGCCAGTACAAGAGTGCTCGCTTCCATCGAGTCTTCCTACTTTTTCAAAACATTGTCAGCTACATACACAGACACACTCATTCTTACAATTAGTCGCGTATACGATTAATGATACGTATACGTATACGTATTCTTTGATTGCACTTACCGTAAAAATTTTTTTTCTTAAATACAAACCTTCTAAGAATAAGTATTGTGAATGAAAAATTTCAAAATTGTAGCATTTCTGCCAGAATAGTTGTTTAAATAATAATTTTTTGAACTTCAACAATTCGTTAAATATAAATTATGATAATATAATGTTTTAAATATACATATAAAAATAAAGATTATCTTATATGAAGTGTTCTGACACTTGACATTTCTATAAAATTTTTATCATTATTATACAATTCTAAAAAATGACCGGTTCGGAGTTATAACTTTTCGGAAAAAAGACACCCACCCAATTTCATAATTTAACGCGGAGTCAGACTGTTATTGGTATAATCTTATTCTAAAATTAATAAGGTTTGCTTTAAAGTTCTTGCATTCTTATCTAAATACCCGATGATCTTTACCTCCAAATTGCGTTTCCCTCGTCCATTCACTCATAAAATTACATGTATTAAGAGATCAAGAAAAAAAAGAGATGAAAAAAGAATAAATAAAGAAACAACCAAACCGGCGAACATTCCCGTAGAAGCAGTTGTAAGCTGAGAGAACAGGTGAAAAGCTTGTCATGTTGCTGCAATGCACCAGCAGCAGCACATAAAAATACATTCCCAGCAGATTTAATGGTGCGTTGCTGATGCTTTAAAGATTTTTTTCGCAAAGCCCAAGCTCATCCACCACAAGATGTATGCGTGTACCACTTGTCATCCAGAAACGACCATATCTCGCTGCATCTTTACAGGCCAATGAATTAGCTCTGACGTAAAGGAAGCGGGCGACCTTCGATTCTTCTGTACCGCCACTCGGAATACTTGCACTTTTTAAGATGTCAGCTTTTCTTCTTCTTGTTCGCTGCTTCAGTTACACAACCATGAGTACAGCTTGGAGCGTCCTCTTTTTGCACTTTCTTTTCGGAGCACGATCGTCTCAGTCGCTTTTATCAAGAAAAGATCGAGAGCCTGCAAAGCATTGGATGACTCGGGAGAACACCTCATCCTTGAAAAGTCCAATCATCCAAGAAAATATCTTTATCAATGAGAAACACTGGCCTCCTTTTTTGTCACCACCACGTGACTTGGTGATCTGACTTTTGGTTTTGATGCAGATTTGCATTTTTTCCGAAATATGCATTGTCTTTTCATTCTCGTCGTACATTGATACACAAAGATACAACGGCAAAAATAAACATCCTTATCTTACCTCAATAGATTTTTAATGCTTTTAGATACAACAGGTAATTTTTTTAGGTGCAGTGAACCATAGGTCTTGTGGATAATGTGGAACTTGTTAACGTATACAGGCCTTACCAACAAGCAAAATTTTACGAGAAATTTTATATTGGGCTGGCATGCAAACCCACAAAAAAACTTGTACGAAAAGCAGTGAATCTTTCATGTTCTTTGTAGGATAGGGATACTTTTACTTTTATCTGAAATGCAAGAAATAACAGAGAAAAGCTTATGCAACCCTGAACAAATTGGCATTGAAAACAATATATGTTCGAGTGCTTGATTCAAATAATTTTGATCTACGTAAAAAGTTGGTTGACTACTAATGAGTTTTAAATGCTAGTTTCAAAAATTTTTTTTATTTCAACTTATTATTGATGATTAATAAATATATAATTTTAACCGCAAATAACCACAATAGTAATGAAAGATTAAAACTGAATTGCCAATGACCACTTCAATAGTTAGTAACGGTTGAAAATCAGGATTTTATCGTTTTTATTTTTTTTATTTTCTCATACTTGGTTAGTATTTGCAAGACCTTTGTTTTTTATTTTATTTTACATTTAACGAATCAAAAGCTTTGAACATCGAACATAGTACACTTTAAAAAAGTTGAAAATTTTTTTTATCGATAATAATGGTGCATAAAAATATTTCAGTGTATTCGAAATGAGACGCGACTACTAGCACCGGAGAGTCCTTACAAAAGTAAATAAAGTGGCTAAAGTTGAAACTAAAATCTCTACCATGATGTAAGAATATAAGGGTGCCTGTACATGGAAGACCTGCTGTTTGGCAACTTCCCGTCAAAACTCTCTGGTCTCATGAGAGTGAGAGAGAGAGGTTCATCACGTGACGACATTTAACCTCTCTCTCACTCTCATGAGACCAGAGAGTTTTGACGGGAAGTTGCCAAACAGCAGGTCTTCCATGTACAGGCACCCTAAGGTGTGGCGTTCCGAGGTCTCATTTTCGTACTGTTCTGCGCCTTCCATCGCGACGCCATATTTGAGGGAGATGTGACTACTACAGCGCCGAAGAGCCTATACAATAAAACGAAGTGGCCAAAGTTGAAATCAAAACCTATCCCCCCCATTCACCTCGAAGTGATATATATATAGAAATAGACATACGTATAAATATACAATTACGACAATTGATGAATGATATCTAGTCAGTTTTTCCGTGTGAATATTCACGAATTGTACGTTTGGTCACTGAAACAACTGGAATGAAAATATTGAAATAGTTTCACGAGTTTCTTGATGTTTATATGCTTTATATTTTGAAAGCTTTTGAAGTTCGCAGACAGCATGGCGCCGCGATGGAAGCGTTCCTGATTGGTCAATCAAAATGGATGCGCAACGCCACACATTGTATTATATTCTTACATTATGACCTCTACCATTTTACGTGTTCAACAGAAAACCGCGAAAATTTAGCGCCATTCTACAACGTAAAAAAGCATCATGTGGCAATAACTGGAACTAAAACCTCTCCCTTGCGTCTCATGACGAATAACACGAGATTCCACGAATTATTGGGATCGGCCTTTGAGAACCTTCTCTCGAAACTTTGGAATCACACCACAACGTGTAAGCATAGAGAAGCTAGATTCTTACGTATGCTATCCCACGTCTCTACCACCTAATGAACCATCCAACCCACCGTACGGGCCTTTTAAATACCCATTGTGATTTTAGAGACTATTTGGCCAGATATAATATAGCTTCCTTCCTCATGATGTTAGCACCGGAAAAATTTACTAATCATCTTCAGGATTAGATAGTTAGGTAAACTCGTCCTGTCGAAAAATATCGAGGAATAAATCTGGATATTTTTCTACCGAATCTAAGCTGTTGACTCCTCGAGTTCCTTCGGCTGGTACAAGGCTACATCACTTTAACCACTAAGTGTCATTAAAGCTATTCCTATACATAGAAGTATGAAATCATTAATGACTTCCAAACTGTTAATATTACCATAAAAATTTTAAGTACAACGTCAATCAACAAGTACAATATTGATAATTTTAACCACCAACTGTTAATCTTATGACTAAAATTATTGAAATTCTGTTACTGACTGACGTATTGCTATGTTGCACATGTTTCAGGATGGTTCTCGGTGATATCCGGAAACGGGACGGCAGCAGGAGCCAGAGTTTACCGGAGGGTCGAAACGTTGGTACGAGCCGGAGTACCGGCGTTCCTACTAGCCGCCCCACTCAGGGCGTACAGCCTTACACATTCGAAAATGGGTAAGTCCATTCAGCCACTGCTGCCATCTTCAATAGTACTCTTCCACACGTATTACACAGACATCGTGCATTTAATCACGCAAGCTCCATCGCACCCTGTTAGCTCAGCTGTATGATTACTTCAGCAGTGCATGGGCACGTGATTTACGGTATATGCAAGGTAATACAAATTCAGGCGTTGAAGTCTCGAACAAAGGCTCCCGGCTCGCGCATTATTTATCCGTTATCCTTTCGCTCCTCTGCCCACCGGCCCTTTCAGCATTTATTATTAGTAAGTATATGAGCTGCCTATCTGCTTGCCACAAAACCTATCTGACCAAAAAGTTTCTCCTGTCATCGCTCGTTCTTCCCGTTTCTCATAATAAATTTTTACCCTGCCTCACACTGTATTGATCCGCTGAGATTTTTTTTCACGATTAACTAGAGATGACTGCAATGATACTCACGACTTCATCCTGTGTACAACATGTCAAACTTTTCCTAAATTGAAATTTTTTAAGACCAACAGCTTAAGTATACTGTCTATCAACGTGCTTTTTTTTTAACTTTACGAAGACTGGGCTCGAATCTGATTAAAAATAAATTGTAGGTAAACAAATTAGGCACTATACGTTTTTAATTTTATTAAATTTACGTGTGCATCGATCACATTTACGAAGCATGCAAGATTCACTTGTTCGATCGCAATTTATTAAGTCCAAAAAATATTGCATAGACTTCTTCAAATAATGATCTAGAGGTCATAGTTTTTTTAGAATCGCATAAAAATTATTATGAGCCTTCCAAAGACACATAATTCTTGTCGAAATATTTTGTTTAAAGGTATCCGACGGAACATTAATTATAATTTAAAAAAAAAAATCTTAAAATAGTGGACCTTTGAAAAAAGTTATAAATCGTTATATACCAGTTTGTTTGAGGTTAATCTCTTTCCGAAAAGACGTAAAATTTGATAAGAATGGACCTTTAAAATATTTGAGAATGTGAAGCCAATTTGAGCACTGTTAAGTCAGTAAGACTTACAATCATCTTTTGCTAAGCTTCAGTATACTCAAATAAACGGTGAACGTACAAAAGTTAAGAATTATAATTACGTTTGAACAATACATATAGTTTTGCAAATGTTTTGAGCATTCGCTATGACACTTAAGCTTGTAGATTTTCATATCGGTACAACGTGAACAAGCCATCATGGTATGAGGCGATTTTCTTTTTTTAATAATGAATAAATAATGCTTGTTAAGCCCTTATAACATCTGCATATATACGGTTCATATGCCTACCTGCGCGTGAATATACACGTGTACCACTTACTTTGATTGTAAGCATGTTCATTACTGTAATGGGTCTTTTGTGATCTTATACAAGCATAAAGTATGAACTAAAGGTGACACACAAAGAAAGTTTGGGAAACCCTGCATACGTGCACAAAAATACACAGAGGTACGCAGTATTTGACAGAGTTGAATTACTCTGAAATACTTTTTATTTCAGCTGTAATTCAAGTTATCCAACAATTTAATTAATTTATTATAATGAGAGAGAGGTTCATCACGTGACGACATTTAACCTCTCTCTCACTCTCATGAGACCAGAGAGTTTTGACGGGAAGTTGCCAAACAGCAGGTCTTCCATGTACAGGCACCCTAAGGTGTGGCGTTCCGAGGTCTCATTTTCGTACTGTTCTGCGCCTTCCATCGCGACGCCATATTTGAGGGAGATGTGACTACTACAGCGCCGAAGAGCCTATACAATAAAACGAAGTGGCCAAAGTTGAAATCAAAACCTATCCCCCCCATTCACCTCGAAGTGATATATATATAGAAATAGACATACGTATAAATATACAATTACGACAATTGATGAATGATATCTAGTCAGTTTTTCCGTGTGAATATTCACGAATTGTACGTTTGGTCACTGAAACAACTGGAATGAAAATATTGAAATAGTTTCACGAGTTTCTTGATGTTTATATGCTTTATATTTTGAAAGCTTTTGAAGTTCGCAGACAGCATGGCGCCGCGATGGAAGCGTTCCTGATTGGTCAATCAAAATGGATGCGCAACGCCACACATTGTATTATATTCTTACATTATGACCTCTACCATTTTACGTGTTCAACAGAAAACCGCGAAAATTTAGCGCCATTCTACAACGTAAAAAAGCATCATNAAATACATTGTTTCAGGTAAAATTGTATTCGATGAAGTTTTTGAAATAATTTGCTTAAATAAACTTGTATTTTATTTAATTATTTAAAATACTTTGATAAACTACAATGGTATTACAAAATATATTTAAATATTGTATTTCAAATACTAATGTATGAAATCAAATCGTTTCGGGACAGCATCAGTATGGGTTTTTCCCGAATGATTGATTTCCCACTTACAATACATTCATCTAGCAAATGCGTAGTGGCTCCCTATATAATTTCAGTAATGTATGTATGTACAAGCGCTGCAGAGGTTGATAGAGATTTTTGAATGTCTCACCAGGTACCAGAATGTTTTTTTACAGAACACAAAAGCTCTCAAACTATAAGTATAGTTATATCCAGTTTTCGGCTTAAAAACGCTGTATAATGGTTTTAAAACAAAATTTTCATAAACAAATTAAAAATTGTTATGAATTTACAAAAGTTGTATATGGTTGGGCTTAGGTTATACTAATAGACATGATATGATAGTGCTGATTTTGCTTTGAAATATTATATATTATATGTATATATGGCCATAGAATAAAATAAAAAATGTAAATTTTGAATTTTATGGTAACGCTCTTTGTTGTGGACAACTACTTTTTTAATTCAAAGACGCCCAGGTAGAAAATTACTACACAAACTGGCTAGAAACTCGTCAACGTACATGCGTAAATGGGCTTATAACATGTTTAATGTATTTGAAATAATTGAATTACAACACCATCAGTATTTATTAAAATAATTCTAAATATTGTAATTAAAGTATCAAGCAATTGTTACTTTATTTTGAAAAAAAATTTCATTGAATTAATAAAACGGTTATTTTTTTCCAAATAAAATGAATTTTTTTTTTTCTTCAAATAATAAATACGACTTTGCCCAAGTCTGAAAATAGACTTACATGCTACATTACTTCTGTTGCAGAAAATGGCAATTTGCGGGCTCACTACACGAAAACGACGATCCGGGCTGGCGAAGTGCTGCGGCTACTGGCGGTTTTCCAAGACATGAGGCGCGGTAGCTCAGTGGCCTTCAACATAACGGGTGGTTTCTCGGAGCGCGACCAGTACGCCCAATGCCTTGACGCCCACGGCCGAGAAGTGTTTGCACCATTGTCCGCCCGGGGCGAGTTTTATGCCGTCTGCCTCGGCGATGGCTCTGCCGGCGGCAACCTCGACACTAGCAGTGACGCTCTTCTCTACAAGGTTTGTGCTTCTCGCCCTTCTCCAATTTTCGGGGTACGAGAAAATCTTTGATTTTCAAACCACCAAGAATCAACTGTTTATCGAACACTTTATACATTTTAAAGTATTTCCTCTATTTTCAATAGAGCAAAAATTTCAAGTCCTGTACATTGATTTTTAGGTATACCAATGTCACATCAAGTTGCTCAATTTTTGTTAAAGTAAAAAGCGTTGTCATCTTCATTATGAAATATAAAATTGATCCAACTATAAAATCAAAATGTAGAAAAATCAATCGAAATGAATCAAGGAATTCTTGAATAATACCACTTCTACATATTAACGAAAAAAAAGCGATTTAGATTTATCCACGTAAGTTAGTGTAACATTAAATAACATTACAACTTGTGCAACAAATTATGAAAAAATAAGTACATTATATACTTTGATAAATAATATCCTGCTGCATGTAACATAATAATTAAATAGATTAAAATTATATTTACTCTCAACAAGTTTAATTTAGTTTTTCGTTGACGAATCATAAGTAATATACGAAGAGTGAAAAACCATTCAACTCCGTAAGATCGATGTGCAATATTGTCTTTTAAATATTTTACACGTACCGTGGTAACATGTTGTGTTCAAAATTTAATCATCGCTTATCAAAATACACAGTAGGTAGTGCTCATAGCATTGACAAGACACTTTATAAACTCACGGTGGAAAATTGGAGTTGGGCGCGATATAATTTGAGAGTAATTACTTTCTAAAACGATTTCCTATTGCTTGACTCGCTTGTTTTCGAATTTGATATTAATTTCGTCGAACGATTCGTTTTCCTGTTCAAATTTCACTGGTAGCAAATACTAATGGTTATAGCAACACCTACAACAGCCCCAAGCCCTGAGCACGGTTAAACCTGCACGAACGCCGAATATAAGCTGATAAAAAATTCTTCCTATCGATAATGGGCCTTCTTTTGCCAACCATCGTGCCCTGACGGTTGGTAACCGCCTTCACTTGTCTCCATTGTTTCGACCTGTACGGGCAATTTAAAGCTTATTGGAATGAACGGAGAATGGAAGCCTTGATACACCCGTGTTGAGGAAACAACAAAAGACGGTGTCGTGACCCGTTATAACAATCACTATGCCATCCATCTCGTATTATTGTATTGTTTCTCTTTTTTTTTCTCCCCTTTTTATCAAACAATTTAACGTCGCACTCGAGGGCTTAGCACATCATACAGTTCACTTTCCAATTAAGCTTGATATACGTCGACGTGCATCGGATTAAATAATGTACACGGTGTTGCGGGATCAAATGCAAAGTGAATGTTGACGTTGATCGTACTTTCAACGCACATGCCACATACGTTCGAAATGAATACAAAAATCAACTGATTAAAAGAAAAAATGGATTGCAGCTACAGTATTAATTGCTGAATCAACTAAGATTTCACACTGTTCGTGTACAGGTGCACCAGCTTGCGAGGCGGCAACTACCGCTGCGTGTGCGCCTGATAGCCGGTCCGCTGCCGGTGCCACTACCGCGGGAGTACGGAGGCCTGATGCAGCTTGAGTTGTCAACGCGGGGGCCCATAGTTCTCGGCTGCCTCGTGCCCGAGACGCCGGTCTACAATCCGGAGATGCTCGAGCTCCTGGTGGCGGGTAGTGGCGCTCCTAGGGTTCGCCGAGCGAGGCTGGGCTACCCCTCCGAGGCTCGCCTTCTTGCCTCTCCCAAGATGCAACGGCTCCTCACCGCCTGCAGGTACATAGTATATGGTATACAAATATAAGGATGTAAATAGTTTTCCTCTCCTGGATCATTTGTCCTTTTTTTTTTTTTATTTATGTCCGCCTGTTCACTGAAGACCGATGATGGCGAGGGATATAAGAAAATTTCAATATTACACCAATCAATCACAATTTACCAATAAAAACAATCTATTGCTCGTTTACCCGTTTCAACACGCCCCTCTCCCCTCCCCCCCCAACTCCCTCGTTGAGAATCAAATTCATAGAATTTACTCCCTACCCCCCTGAGAAAGTGACGTGGACTTTTATTTTTTATTTTGCATTGGCTTGACCAATCTATGGAAGTGCTGAATACGTTCGTTAGAGCAAAACGTTTAACCACTTATAAATCGTCTAGTTTTGATGTTGAAAAAATTTCAAGCTCAGTATGAAGGTGATCCGAGTTGGTAATGCAGAGACGGGCAGTATTCGATAGAGTTGAAATACTCTGAAATACTTGATTTCAGCTTTAATTCAGGTTCTCCAAATACTCAATTACTTTATTTAAATTAATATCTGAACTATTTACAAAAGTTGTATATGGTTG